TACAGTGCCCTGATATTTTGAATGACATTATTATAGAAGAATCTGGTACACATAAATCAAAAAAAATGGTTATGTGGTCTGAGTACACTTATGAAGCATGCATGGCATTCTTAGAACTGATTTACTCTGGCCAAGAACAATTAATAAGTCCCGAGTACAGAAAAGATTACTTGAATTTAGTAACAAGGTACAATGTTCAAATAGTTATAAATGATGATGGAAAACATGGATGGTTTTCTGAAGAATACGATAAAGCATCAAAACGTAAAAGCTCAGAATTATATTCAACTGATAATAAAAGATATAGAGCTCCCAGTCCAGATATGTTTATGATGGATAATACAAGTGAAGAAATAGGTAATATGAGTTCTATATTTTTAGGAACAACTGTGAATGATGAAAAATCCTTGAGTGTGTTGAAAACCAAGCAGTGGTTGTACAATTGCAACCTAAGTCAACGTCACAATTCATCATTCACAGGAAATTTAGATATTAATGTTCTACCACAAACTATTTCACCGATGAAGAGTCCAGCTCATTCTTTTCATAGTGCATCAACTGTACATATTCAACTAACACCTACGTCTACTGAAAATGATTATAATATGAACATTGAAAGCAACAATGTACAGATTAACTCAACATTAGATATTAGAAGTTTATCCCCCAAATCATTATCAGTGGATGAATCAAGCATGAAAGCCGACTTAAAGTTGAATAACATCAAAAACGTCCCTATTGATTTAGAAGTTCCTTCGGACAAAATTTCTACACTTACTAATTCACGTAAAGAACCAGAGTTAATTACAATCACCAGTGATAGTGACAATGAATCGATAGATATGATTTTGTCTCGTTATAATGGTACAGCTCATAATAGAAGTATTAATCTATCAAATGAAAACTATTGTACACCTTTTCAAGCAAGCATTAAGAGAATGAAAAATGTTTTTCCATTCAACTCAGATGATAAAAGTAATGCTATAAGTGTTATTGAGTTAAATGATAGTAGCTTAGATTCAATTCATTCAGTTAGTACAAATATATTACATCAAAGAAATTGTAACACTAAATTGAGCAATTCTGTTGTTAACAAGACCACAACTTCAACACCAAGAACTAAGACATTCATAAATATTGATGATGAAAAGACCGTAATTTCCACTGTACCAAAGTATGCTCAAATTCCATCTTCAAGTAATACAAATTTTATAGACCTAATAAATGATAGTAGCTCAGATTCTATCTTTACGATTGATAAAATAAAAAATGACAGTTTATCGACATCATTTTCAACATTGCCATTGAATAATAATGCTCAACAAAATTGTCAAAAGTCTTCAACTCCCCTTTCAAATGCACCAAGAAAAATAAATTCTCCAAGTCACGATTAGGTAAACTCTCAAATAAACCTCGTCCACTACGTGTCACTCTTCCTAACTCATCTGACGTCTCGAGTTTAGAGTGAAAAGGCAACTACTAAATGTAAGCAATCTAAATGGTATTCGAATTTCATCTGATCAAACCCTGCAACAACGTAAATATTTTGCATCTACTATGGCTGTATTGAAAAATCGGAGGGATTCTGGTGAAAGCGATTTATTTATTAAATATATAAACGGTTTGCCGATTATCTTAAAAAACGACAGAGCAAACGCAAAATTTTAAATAATTTTTCAGTTTACTACCAGAACGTACGTGGAATTAATACCAAACTAGATATATTTACCCGTAACCTCGCACTCTCTAATTATGATATTATTACCTTATCTGAAACCTGGCTATCAAACAACGTTAATAACGCAGAGCTTGGACTCTGCACCAATTACCAAATATTCCGTTGTGACAGATGTGACATACGCGGCGTCGACATAAGAGGTGGAGGTGTGCTTATAGCAGTCAATAACAAGTTCCCCAGCCGTCTACTATCTCTACGTGATAATTCAATTGAACAACTGTATATAGAAATAAGTATTAATAATTTTTCACTAATAATTGGAACAGTGTATTTTCCGCCTCGTTCGGACTCTACTATGTACAATGATCATTTTGATCTTATAGATAATCTCATGTGTAAAAACCCTAATTCTAAATTTTTAATATTGGGTGATTATAACCTCCCGAATATTAAATGGACTTCTATAAATAATAATATTACTCCCAATTTGTCTAATATTAATAATTTTGACTCAAATATTTTAACTAATCTATCATATATTAATTTAAATCAACATAATCTAGTTTATAATCTTTCTGGTTCAATGCTGGATCTAGTTTTTTCGAATATCAATAATGTAAACGTGTCCTCTGTAATTAATCCTCTTGTACCATTAGATTGAATGTATCATCCGGCATTATTAATTAAAACAGCTGTCCTATTATCTCAACCTTTAAGCTATAAAGAACAAATTTATGCTTTGTTCACTGTGATTATAATGATATTAGGTCGCGTATTGCCTCCGTAGATTGGAATGGAATATTCAATGAATTAAATATTAATGATGCAGTTAATATTTTTTACGAACATATTTTTAGAATTATAAATTCATCATGTCCAAAAAAATATTTGTTTACGCCAAGATATCCTATATGGTTCAGTAAAAAGTTAAAACGGTTGACATTAGAGAAAAAAATTGCACATATAGTATACAAGCGATCTCCAAACCAATTTCATTACAACCAATTCTCGAATATACGTGCTCAATGTAAGTCACAAAATAATTATGATTATAAAAACTACATTTCCAATGCCCAAAATGCTATAAGTAATAATCCTAAATTATTTTGGAAATTTATTAATAATAAACGATCACATGCCTTTCTTCCAGAATCTATGACTTACAATAATAATAATCACTGTGGTGGTACTGAAATCTCCAACGTCTTCGCAAAATTTTTCTCTAGTGTATTTAACAAACCAACTATTCTAAACCCAATTCCTAGTATTGAAAATATTAATTTGCTCTCGGTCAACTTTAATAAATGTATATTAACTATAAACGACATATACAATGAAATCAACCACATATGCACTAAATCCTGTCCTGGTCCTGATGCAATACCTAGCACATTTTTTACTGAATGCAAATTCGTTCTATCCATTCCGCTACTTCATTTATTTAACCTATCTCTCTCATCTGGCGTTTTCCCAGACAGATGGAAAGTAAGTAGTATATCTCCAATTTCGAAAGGAGGGGATAATACTCAAATAACAAATTATCGTCCCATTTCTATAACTTCAGTTATTCCAAAAATGTTTGAAAGTATTATATCTAAAAAACTTATTCCAATATTTAAAAATATAATTATTGACGAACAGCTCGGTTTTATGTCAGGTAGGTCAACTAGTACCAATATTCTTGTATTACAACATTATATATTAGATGCGTTTAAGGCAGGACATCAAGTGGATGTTATATACACGGATTTTTCAAAAGCATTTGATAAAATTGACCATGATATCTTATCCGCTAAACTATACAACTTAGGTATACGAAATCCATTCTATTCATGGTTAGTGTCTTTTTTAACGGGCAGGAAACAATATGTCAAAATTAAAAATTTTAACTCAAGTATGTATGATGTAAGTTCAGGTGTCCCTCAAGGGTCTCATCTTGCTCCATTACTATTTAACATTTTCATTAATGACATTAAACTTACCAACTCCCATATGTTGCTGTTTGCTGATGACCTCAAATTATTTCGTATTATTAAGTCACCGGACGATGCTGTACTACTTCAAAATGAAATAAACGTCCTCTCGAATTGGTGCAGCAAAAACAACTTACTTCTAAACGTTTCTAAGTGCAAAGTATTAACTTTTTCTAGAAAACGAGAAAAATATATTTATGACTACCTCTTATATGAATCTGAACTCACTCGCGTTTATAAGAATAGTGATCTAGGCATAATCTTTGATGAATCTCTAACATTTAATGAGCACTACTTGTATATTCAAAATAAAGCTTCATCTATGCTAGGATTTATAAATCGAAGCTGTAAAAGTTTTAACAATCCATATGCATTAAAAGCTTTATATTACTCGTATGTAAGATCAATTTTATACTATGCCTCTATGGTTTGGTCCCCTAGTAGAATTGGTCCGATACGCGCAATAGAGTCAATACAAAATCGATTTTTGAGATTTCTATCCTTTAAGTGCGACATTCAGCGTCAACCTCATTCTTCCTACTTACCAATATTAACAATTTTAAATATGGAATCGCTGGAGATAAGAAGGAAAAGACTTGACCTGTATTTTTTTTTTAAATTACTTAATGGACAAGTTTATTGTCCATGTTTAATTTCAAACTTAAGCTTTCTGGTTCCTAATCGAAGTACTAGACAAATAAATACGTTCTATGTTCCATTACAATCTACTAACTATGGCAAAAACGCACCTATGAATCGATGTATGGAATTAGTTAATACATATAATGTAGATTTATTCTTGTGTACAAATGTTGAATTATTTAAAATATATTTAAATAATTTATTAATATAATATGTATTTATCGAACCTAGTACCTAACTAAGATGTGTATCCTATTATTATAATATATGTTTATACTATAATAAGCCAACGACCTTAATATTATTATTATTTGTATTTACTACCTATTAATTTGTATTACTCGTCTCTAGTCTATAAGAAATTATTTTATAACTGTAAACTACATCGACCATTTTTCTTATGTATATTTCTATTGGGCATCCGCCCGTCCATAATAAATAAATAAATAAATAAATATTGTTATGATAGTTTAACTACAAAATTTGAAACAAACAATTGTATATCGAATGCATCACCATTAAAAGGAGGTGACATGTGGTCAAATTGTTCATATCCAATAAGCGATGGAGATTATTATACAAAAATTAATACAAAAACAAATGAAGACTTTTGTTCAACAATTTTTTCAAGCAATACAATTTTACCTAAATGTAGTAATTCTAAATTACTATCCAAATCTACTGAGCAATTATTTCAATGTAACGATATGCCATCAACATTTTTAAACACTTCCCCAATTTATAATGTAGAAAACAGTGATAATATCAGTAATACAATAGGGTCCTATAAGAAAAATGTTCTAGACAAATCTAATTCATATTTTGAACAGTTGGAAAATATCTTATCAAAGAAAAATATAAAATCACCTTCTAATAATTATATCAATTCCCTAGTAAACATAAAAGAACCTATTGATTTAACTACATGTTTATCAAGTGAATACACACATACTTCATTTAGGCCTTATAGTTCTCAAATTGAAACTGTTCAACTACCTATTACATCAGAAATAACTACATCAAATGAAAATGATGATGATCAAAATAAATCAGCCTTTGAACAAATAATTGACGATCCGTGGATGGACTATAATGATTGGCAACCATATAATATTAGTCCTCAATATGTGTCACCAGTTTTATCGGAGAAAAATTCTTTGGTCTTAGTTAATGACTCTGAAGTATTATCAACACCCCAAAATATTGTAAATCATATTAATATGGATTTACAAACTTCTCCACCAACTATTTCAAGTAATGTTGATATAGTAAATCATCAAATAAAAAATGCAGTAACACCAAATAAATACGGCAGTAGAATAAGTACTCCAAAGAGTTTACGCAGGGTTCAATCAGAATCTATCATTGGAACTAATGGACAAATAACACCTTTGCCAAATTATAGTGCAATGAAAACACCAGATTTAAGAGTAAGTATTTCTTTAAGAAACTTAGCGTTAACTAGTGACAAATGGTCCTAGATACTTCTGTTTATAAATTAATCTTGTACTTATTATTTCATTATACCTACAGTATAGTCCTAGACAAATTTAAACCATTTTATGTCTTAATTAGTAGAGATTTTTCAAGGGTACTTGAATGACCAATAATTGTTTTTTTACCATCTTTATTAAGAAGTCTTGACAACAGATTTTAAAGACAGTTATACATATTACATAGTATAGGTGTCCTAAGAGGGTACAAGTTAATGTAATTGAAATTTTTTTTAGAGAAAAATCAAGTAATTGTTTTTTGGTTAGTGCACTCAACTTTTATTATAAAAAAATTGAATAAATTTGAAACTTAGTTTGTAATTAAATAGTTTTAGTTACATATTTAAATATAAGTATACAGTCAGTAATCAATATTAATTTCTTACATGCAGTTTTTTCACTCAAGTTTTTAATAATTAACCAATTTTTATTTGAATTTTCAATTGTAATTTTAGAAAGAATTTGAACGTTATGGCCTTAAAGATCTCGGAAGGCGCAAAGGAAAGCTTATATTAAGACATATCTATGATGTAACTCATCCCAAATATGTTTCTGAAGAAGCAAAATGTGTTGGAGACTCTGAACAGTATTCTGATTCTTCAGATAGGTAAGTATATTTTAAACATTTAAATTGTCGTTATCATTATTAGCACTGAACACAAGCATAATTTATTGTGCTGCACATATAATATTATAGTTCAGAACATGGAATGCCTTATTATGAAGCTGGAGATTACGACGAATTGGAAATAGTCAAACAAATTTATCAAATAAAAGTAAGTTTTATAAAGATCTATGTAATTATTATCTATATCTATCTATATATATATATATATGAATGTATGTATGATGTATGACATATGTATGCATATATGTGAATTAAACTTGGAAACTAAGAAACCTTATTTAGGTTATCTTTAAAGAAGAATTTATTGATTTTCAGTAGCTTTTCTAAACTCAAAGTTATTTGTAAATAATGTTTAAGAAAAGCTAATATTATTTTAACTGATTATATAATATTACTATAGCATATATACTACTATAATTATTGTTAATCGTTATTAAACGCTAATATATTATCATTGCTATATGGTATGGATTGTGAAATAAAAGACACCTAGTCTATTTTTGTTGTGTCTCATTCAACTACAGTGATAATTCAAATAAAATGTAGTTTTTAAACTATTATCAGTTTAATATATGTGTTTAAAACTAGAGCTGTATTTTGACTTGAGCCACATTTGATCACGATTGTAGTTATTTTATAAACAGCCACAATGGCTATGTCTCGAGCAAAGTATTACTCAGGTAGAAAAAATGTGGTTTGTTTCAAAACACAGGCCAATTAAAGTTTGTGCTTAGGAAAATATACTAGGAAAATAATTTATATATTTTCGTATATTTTGTATACAATTTTGACTCATAATACATGTTGTTATTTTAGTTTCAATAGATGTGGGTTTTAAAGATTTGCTCAGAGTCAATGAAGATCTTCATAAAAAGATTTTGTGTTATGAACCTATTTGGATTGAAGAGCTGAAAGACTATTTAAAACAGTACAATGTAAACATTAGTATGCAAAAACTCATGACGTTCTTGGATGATAAAGTAAAATATTTATTACAATTTAAAATGTTAGTTATTAGATTAATATACTTTTTTTTTTAAATTTATTTATTATATTAGTCAATAAACTATTTATTTCATACATCAAAATTATTTTTATTCTTATAAGATATTAATGTTTTTAACTATCTATTAATAATTGATACAATTGTTGCTTGTAAGTTTTCCATGAAAATTTTGATTTCATTAGTTTTCTCATGGATGTATAATATTAGAATAGTATTATACATGTACACAGTGATTTTTTAAATTTTTAAATACATTTGACCATATATATTTATGAATCCCTGAGATTTTTTGTACCACTTATAGACGCTTCTGTGGCAATACAAACATCCGTTTTTTTAATAATTTCTAATGACACGAGAGAAAAATGCCCCCCCCCCCCTAATAAAGCCACTGAAATAATTTGATTTAAAAAAGGGGGTTCTTGTTTGAAAAACAGAAGTTTGTATTTACTAACCTTAAGTAATACAAAAGATATCAGGAATTGGAAAATATTCTAAAAATTTAGTATTAAAGGGAAAATGGGGGTGAGCATGCTTAAAAAATCACCCAATTTAAGGTGATCCATTTCAGGGTCATCTGAAGTTCCTACATTAGTCAAAATTGTAAATTTTTGTTTTTGGTTGCTAATGTATAACAATTTTAAGATTTGTATATTTATCTTTCCAGTGTGTGTCATTTCGTTCAAAGTCAATAAATGATCAGAGAAAATAATTAGCAGCAAAAAAATACACCAAAAGAAAGAAATTATTTTAAATGATTGAATTGTTACTTTTTTGACATATTTTCTTGTTTGTATAATATTGGTGTTAAATAAATATTTGATGTATTTTAATACATTTTTCATTGATTAGTTATAAAAAATAATAATAAAAACCAATTACAGTCATAAATAATTATTTTTATTTCTATACAAACCATAATATTGTCATTCATTTTGTATAAGGAATTTGGATGTATTAATTTTACTGTTTCTTCTGATAATCAATTTAGGGATTGTGAAATGTTTGTTGAAAATACATATCTGTGCCAAGGTTGGCAGAATCTTAGATACAATTGACAATCTTGTATTTTTGTATCAACTGTATCCAGATACAAGTACTAAGAAGTACCTATCAAGAATTTTGTATTGCAATACATTTCCTAGTCATTGTATCCAGTATTTGATAAAACAATTTAATCAAAAGATACTAGATATATTAAAGCAATACTTTGAAATGTCTAGTTTTTTAATGTTTACAGCATTAAGCTAATATTAGGTACGTAATGGTTGTATAGTATTACCCTACTATAGAGCCATAGAGGTGTATCCGATATAGGAGGTATTTATATATTTTTTCGTATTTGATAAAAATAAATATTTAATTAAGCATACATATGAACAATATTACCTATCCCATTCTAAAAAAACTTTATATTCGAAACAACACTTCTTTAGTTAGTAGCTTTAAAATATTTCCCTGTTATAGCTACCCACCGGCCGAAGGTCTAAAAACTTTTGATGGAAATATCTATTATGTACCAATAGTACGATCTGTACGTATTATTGAACAGAAAATAGCAACAGAACGATGCTCTTTGGTTTGTATCGGGAAAAATGTGTAAAATCATCTCCAAAAAAAAATAAAAAATATCACAATATCACCAAGGCAGTAGCTTGCCAGCCTGTCAATATGATTAAGACATCATTTTTTGTTTTTAGTGTAGAAAAATAAAGTATTTAAGTTTTTTTTTTTTATTATTGAACAAACATAATATACCTATTTACAATCTGTATTTACATTTGATACAATAAGTAAATGTGATGACGATTTGGTTTACAGGAGGGGGAAGTCACCCAGTGGCGGCACCCCGTGGGGGTATTTAAGTTAAAGCGCTTTTTGTGATACTTGGATACCGAGGTGGGTGGGCCTCGGTTTATGAAAAACCACCTAAATAAACTATTATTAATCAATGCCATTATTAATTTAGTTTTTAAGTGAATAATAAATGTAAATTAAAAATGCTCATAACTCACTTAAGAGGCTGTCAGAGCACTACTCATTTTCTCTCTCTGGCTCACACGTAACATAGACAAAACTACGCAAAATCAGTTTTTCTATATTTATAAGTAATCTTAGAGTAAAGTTACCCATTACAAAAAATATAGAGAATAATATTTTTGAGAGAATGACATATCGATTTGTCTAATTATTGTCTCAAAACAATTTAAACATCATTTAAATTTACAAATTTTTTTTTTTTATTTTGAAAGTGATACAAAATCAAATAATAATAAAATATAAAATCGATATGTCATTCCCACAAAAATATTATTCTCATTCTTTTTAGTAATAGGTGACTTTAAGATTACTTAAACGCATAGAAAAATGATTTTGTGTAAATGCGTTTTGTCTATGTTGCGCGTGGGCCAGAGAGAGAAAACTAATAGTGCGCTGACATCCTCTTAAAAACTGAATTATCGTAAAAAAGCTTCCAACAAAACACAGATAATGTTCTTACTATCAAGTTTCATAATAGGTCGATTCACTCAAATTGTTAAGCTAACGGCATAAAATTTGAATTTCTGAGCGTACATTTGGTATGTTACGCGTTTGTATGACGGAGATAACATATGCGGGTGTTGCGTCCTCTTAAGGATTATTATCCTTAGTACAAACATTTTACTAACTCAGAAACTACTTATTAGAATTTAGATACATCAACGTTCTCAAGAAAATTACCTGCTAAATAATTTGTAGTAAAAGGGGGGGGGGAGTTTTTATTTGAAAAATAGATGTTTGTATGGCCACTGGAGATTTCTTAAGTAGTACAAAAAATATCAGGAATTGGAAAATATGGTATTTAGGTATACTTAAAAATTCTAAAATTTGAATTTGAATAAATGGAATATTAAGGATAATAATGGGTGTGTGGATACTTAAAAAATCACCCTGTATATTTCATTCCCACAATGGCATTTTTGAAGCAATGTTTTTGCAAAAATTTAGTTCAACTTATAGTCTTGCTTAGGTATAGTAAATTGTAATATAAATTCCTTTCATAGCAATAATATCCAATATGACACAAATTTTCATTATTCAAATTAGAATCCTCCTTTTTTATTGAAAATTATTCATTGAATAATTTTTTTTTTTTTAATTGTTAGGTACTACTTAAACAATTTTAACATTACAAAATACAAATACTATAACATGTCTGATGATTTAATGGTAACATGTTAACGTATTTAAATATTTAATTCACATATTTTTAACCAATATTGAAATAATTAAATAACAAAACAATAAATAAAGTGGTGATAACTGATAACTATATTAGTATAGGATATTAACTTAATATAAAACTATTTTATACTGTTTTTATAAATTAAATATCATTTACACAATGTTTTTTTTTTAATAATCCTATTATAATATAGCTCCTAGACAGTAATATAGACATTTATTCATCTTTGATACTCATGATATTAATAAACATGAAATTACATTTTTGGAGACTGGATTTAATACTTATAAATTAGGCCAATGATGTACATATTAAAATAATAATATCAACACTGTAAACAGTGAAAAATACTGTAAACATTATCTAATATTGTATTAGTTATTATTAGTTAATAGTTATACAGAATAATATTAATACTATATTATCTGACTATTAAAAAAAATAAGTAATAAATAAGTAATAACTAAGACTGAGAACTAGAAGTACCTACTTATAAACTTGAAAATATGGATGCAGTTATGCACTAAAAAGACATGAAATATGCACTTAAAATGTGCTCTAAAAAAATGTATAATATGACTTTTGGTACTTAAATTATAAAATTAATATGAAAACAAAAATATAAAAAGATTTATATAATATAAAAAGAAAGAAAGAAGTTTGATTATTTACTTTATAAAAACTTATATTATTTCAATATAATAATATTTATAATATACAATTCAATTTTTATCCTACACTTTTTGTATTTCCACCAATCGATTGAAGAAATAGTGCGACAATTAAAATTTATAGATGTTGGAGCACTGTTTTTGAGTTATTTTTAAATGATGGCAACAATAGGAATTTCCATTGGCTACTAACATTGTTTTAAACATTTTGGATGTTTGAGATATTTCTCTTGAATTAGTATTTATCTAATAAGTGTATTTATAAATACACATATAACATAGGTAGTTTATACATACGTCATACACATAATATATGTATAAATGTGTTCATGAAATAATAATAACCAACAAATTATTAATTATTAATAATACACGGTGTGTTAGTATGTACTCCATGAATAGCATTGAATATTTAAAGAAAGACTATTTATGATTTTAATACTGACAATTGTACGAAGACTATATTATTGTAAACAAATTATTATTTATATTTCTTATTTCCTGTCGAAGACCAGTCGCCGTTTTTGATTCTCTATTTTGTGAAACATGTAATATTCTACTATGAGTTGATCAATGTTTTAATTAATATATCATATAAAATAAAAGTATTGGTTGTAATCATTATTATATAGAAATTAAACCACGGTTATTTAGAACCATCTTTAACCGTCTGCCGCAAGACAACTTCATTTTATCAATATTAATTATTAATAAATATGATTTTAAACTTAAATGTAAATCATGACTCATCAAACACTATACTAAAGTGGTTAGATTAATGTTTGCGAAAAAATTGCATTTTAAAATGTCATTTATATGCGTATTATACAATAAAATAATATACTTTAAAAGTTTCAAGTACTTGCCCACAAATATCTAATATATATAATATATTAAGAGCCTTCTATTAGATTTTTAAGCT